AAATTGCAACGTTTGGTGAATGTCCTATATGCCAATTGGTTTTGTAAACAATCTCTATTTACATATGCATATTATGTGTACATAGTACGTGTACATAACATAGTGGGTATACTAAATACATATGTACGAGTATGTTTATGTACTTTGCACATGATATAGCTTTATTTTAACTTATATTTTGCTTTTATGTAAATGCCGCAAATTCTTTATGGAAATATTGTGTTGGGAAGAGTAAACCTTTTTTAGGCTAGCCAAGCCAAAGTTTAATTTGAAAGTTTAACTTCAGATGTCGACGCTCGATAAACAATTTAGTTGATATGCAAATGTGTACAGACTATCACCAAAAAAAAGTCATGCGGCATTCTCTTTAATGCTCAAAAGTGCCTTTATAAAAATGGTGTTTAATAAAACGACAACATTTTACAACATCAAATTAGTTTCCAATTATTGGTAAATATGTTATGAACAATATTAAATTGAATAATTTAAATGTTTCTATTAGCATCTTCTTCTAAATATTGCAACTTTATTAATATTTAATCTATTTATTAAAAACTATTATTAGGTAATACTTACAGATAAATCACTGCTCCCCTAAAAAAATGGTTATTTAGACGACTTTTAATGAAATATATAAATGAATGAAAAAGCGTTTAGCAGTTTTATATTACATTATTTTTATTTAAATATTAATTCTTTTTTAATCAATACTTGCCTCGTAAAAAACATAAGTGCATCCGCAATGAGGCAGCTTAAAATGTTCTCATTTATAAATTCAGTTTCAATATAAAATAAGTATTAATTACAAAAGTGTTCAATAGGTTAAAGCTTGAAGGACTTCAGAATTTATTTACAATTTTAAAGAAATGTTAATAAGCAAAACGAAAATAACAACTCCTTTTAATTTAATTAATGGCACTACAAATAATTCTATATTAAGAATATTTATCAACATAACATTTTAAATAGCTTGTAGGCCAAGACATTTCCTGAATTCGATAAACCTACTATTTTTTTCCTGAAGTCAGTTAAAGCATAAATTACATTTTGAAGTTTCTGGTATACATTTTAAAAGTAGCATTAAATAAAAAATAATAATTATAAATACCTGTGTTACCAGCAAGAGATGCTTTTAGAAACATCAATTTCCCAAAACCAAGTTACGAAAATAAAATTACTCAAATATTTGACTGAATTGTAAGCAGATTGAAAATAATTTAAAACTTAAAGGCTCCCAAGCATTTGTTCCAGTGTTTGCGAGCTTAGAGAACGAGCTTATATTCCTAATAAGACATAAGCATCTTTTCATTGCTTTTAACGTTATTAAAACAATGACAATACAAGCACAAAAGACTGAAGCTACAAAGAGAGTGTCCCTTGGAGGTGTACAAATAAAGGAGCTAACGCATATGCCCAACTAAACAAATATATAAGTATACGAGTATATGACTGCCTCACACACAACGAGCATATCTGCATGCAAAAAAGAATGCATTTTTGCTCAGCGGGTGTATCTGTGTGTTCAGCAAACACAAACACAATCACAATCACACACACACACACACACAGTCAGCAGGACCTTCAAAAACACAAATGAAATCCGAGCTCCCGCATGCATTTTAATTAAGTGAAAAGCGTCTTTTTGTGCCATTTTATAAGCTTTTTGGCTTTTGACGCCCTTTGATGGCGTTTGCAATTTTGACAAAATGCGCAAAATATATAGATCCATTCAAATTATCCTTGCCATAGAAATGCGCGCTCACGTATTTCAAATTTAACGAAGTCAAAGCCAAAAACATTCACTTCTTCAATGCAATTATGTGTGTGTCTGTGTGTGTGTGCGTTTCTGTGTCGCATAGAAATTGGCAGAAAATTTATTAAATGCTCACGTATACAAATCCGTTACACAAAACCGAAAATTCCTGCGCCTGACAGACGCACATGCAAGCACACACACACACGCACACACACACACGCACACACACACACACAGATGAACAATTGTTGTCATACAGAACAATAACTTGAACAGGATGCAGTGTCCTTTACACCAGCCCCCACACCACCCTCCACTCTCTCTCTCTTTATCTCTGATGTATGCATAAAATAATCCTTTTATGCAAGGCACAACAATGTCCGTGAAATGCAAAACAATAACAATAACAGCAACATGTTTCAAATAACTACACACATATGTATGTGTGTGTGTGGATGTTGTGTGTGTGTATAGGCGCATTAACATAATGTAACGTCCCTATCGCATACCCCCCCTCCCCCCCCCCCCCCCCCTCTCCGTATCACCCCCGTATAACTCAAGTGCAAGGCGGCCGCGCTGCGGGTGTGCAAGAGGTGCAAGAGGGTGTGCTGCTCTGCACTCGCAAATTCGACTGCGTGCGGCCCACGTGTCGTATGCGCATTGTTCGAGCGCACAGTTTTGGCAGCCACGCCTCTGCGCCCCCGCTGTGCATGTCCTGCATATATCTCTGTGCGTGTGTGTGTGTGTGTGTATTTGTGTTATCATGCGCTATATGAAGCATTGAGTGGCAACAGAGAGGCGGAGACGGAGACGGCGGCGGAGGCAGCGCCAACACATCGGCAAGCGATATGTGCAACTGTCGTCTATAACTTTTGTCGTTGTTTGTTTGCCCTTGTTGTTGTTATTGCTATCATAGTTGTTGTTATTGTTGCCATAGCTGTTACAGTTGCTTTTGCTATTTGATTTAAGCGCTCGCTCGCATTTTGTTTGCACTGCCAACAGCAGTAACAGCAACAGTAACAGCAACAGCAATACCAGCAGCAGCACCAATAGCAACAACAAACACTTCTCAATTTTGGAAACGCCTCCACCACACGCCTTCTACCGCGCCTTCTACCGCCTTCTCTCACCCAACCAACTACACTCCGAAAAATAACGCAGCACAGAACTCTAGACCGAAGCTCGCTTTCATTTAAAGCCAAGTATCTCTCTTTAATGAAGCTAATGAGAGGTTTAAATTGAAAGAAGTAGTTTTGATTTTATCGAGGGATTTTAGTTGCCCTGTAATCGAAAAAAAGAAAAAAGAGCTTTCAATATGCCATTATTTCAAGCAAAGCACGTAATTACTCCTGAATAAAAACTGCGTTTTTCTAAAACAAATATTACTTTAACGATCGCTTGAATAAGGACTAACGAAATTAATATTTGCTGACCCAAATATATTTGAAATATTGAAGAACCTCAGAAAGACATAAATTTAAAAAAAAAAATCTTATATAGTCCTTTTCAAAGCCTATTCAGTAAATCACAAATATTAAACGAATGAGCATTGTACCAGTAGAAGAAAGAATAAAGAAAATCATGTGCATTCAAAACTAAAAAAAAAATCAAAATTAATTTCAAAATAATAGGGTAATATTTTCATCCTAGAAATGTTTCCTCTACAAATTTTTCAATATAAACTGGTGATTTCCCGCAAGTTTAAAATGTTCGTTCTAATCTTCCCTGAGTATGTGAAGAGGCCGATTGCCGAGTTTGAAAATCTCCTCCGAAGCATTTTCAAGGCACAGGGGAACACAGGAGAGGCCCATTGAGAGTCTTTCGAATATTTACAACTTGAATTGAAAGAGTAATGCCACAAAGCTGATGCCGTAAAACAAAAAGATTGATTGCGTGTGAATCAAAGTGCTTGCATTTTCTGTGAGTGTGCGCGTGTATTACAAATCCATAGATGAGCGACTGATATTTAGAGCTGCCCCCGCGGCATACACACACCCTCTACACACCATCACACACTCACACACAGCCTGACGAACATGAGCTCGCTGCCTGGCTGCTATTTGTTTTTTGATGTGCCATGGCCTGGCATTGTACATTATATTCGGTTTGTTTGATTTTGCCATGTTAATGAAAATGTAAATTTTGTAAGACGCTTTGACGCACACAAACACACACACACACACACACACACACGCCCACACTCATAATATACCATTACGTATACGCAACGTTAAACGTTAAGCCGTTAAAGCAGCCGCAAACTGCATTTTTATTTGCTTTGCGTTTGCATTTTACACTCTACTAGCAGGAAGCAGAAGGAAAGCAAAAACAAATGCCAACAATTTACTTTAAGTATCTTTTTATGTTCACAACAGTTTCCACACCCCCAAATCCAATCCCAATCCCAGTTCCAGTCCCACTCCCACTCCCACTCTCTACTTCTGACTCCTTTATGCTTGCCACGCAAATACTTTCTGCAACTTGCAACTCATCCGTTCCTTTGCTCTCTCTACACGTACACAGTAAATGTATATATCTGCCTGTATTTTCATTTTAGCTTGTAACCATAAAATTTATGTTGCTTCATTCTTCAATAATTGCATAGCTCAGTAAATTTTAATGCAAGCGGTCATAAATAAGTTCCGCTTGCCCCTCAAATAGCTCTACCTCTACTTCGACTGCAACTTCCATTTTTAACTTCTTAGTTTTTGCCTTTCACAAAAATAAATTACATTATACGCTAAATAACAACTGCATACATATACAGATATATACACACATACATACATACAAACGAGTACATACGAATGTGTACCATAAAAGTCTGAGAAAGCCAAAAGGCATTCTGCAATTACATTTCACAATTGCAGCAGCAACAACAACAATCATATAAAAACACACACAAACACACAAGTAACTACAACTAAAGTGCATTTTTGCTTGATATTTTCTTTAACTGTGCCAACACAAAAACCCGTAAAATGTAAACCAAACTACAACAACAACAACTACAACTACAACGACAACTACTATATCAACAAATGCGACGATGAACATCTTGCGGCTGTAACTTGGGGCGCTGTATTTTTGCATGGCATGCAACGGCAAACTGCAAACTGCGGCACTTGAAAATGCGGCACGTGACGTCACGCAATGTGGCAATTGAATAACGCACAACAAACTTACATGCATCATATACATAAACATATACATTTAAATATATATGATGTGTGCTTGTCTGCAGTTTGCAAAAGCAAGTTAGCGTGATGAGCATGAATCTATCAGCGAAACTCGATGAGCTGCAGAGAGGCGATCGACACCTGGAGACGACAGTGGCTTTGTGTGAGATTCGCACACAGCTGCAGGAGCTGACCAAGTCCGTGGAGAGCTGCCAGAGCGAAGTCTCAGAGGTATAATTAGTAGAAGCCACCAAAATAAGCATAACAAGCTGGTTGACAAAACTCAAGAATCTACGACAATTTTAATTTAAACCCCAAAGAGTAATTGTTTTACATTCAATTACATATTTTTATGTTCTTTTATAGTTAGTTCATTGTACCATTTTAAATTTTGAAGACAAAATACAGTTTGAATTGAAATTCGTAATCGAAATGTTTACAAATTGGCTTAACAAGAATTGCTTAGCCCTAGCTTATAATGTTATAAAGTGTTCACAAACTTAGTTGTTAAATTACTAAAATGAATAATACATTTGGTTGACTTTTAGCTTCTTTTGGAGTCTTATTATAAGTATCGCAAATGTTGCAAGAAAGTAACTAAATAGGGAGTAGAGTTTTATGGGTTAAAAATATTTTCTTTTGAACATATATATAAACTAGTTTTGTATGCTATTTATTAGGTAACATAATTTTAATTACATTCCTAATTCACTTTTATTTGCACTTGTCAAATATGTAGGAAATTTAAGTGTTAAAAATTGAATTGGTTTTTAAAATCAGACTTTATGACTAGTACTTTTATTTCTTAAAACAACTTTTGAACAATGCTTCCAAAATATGTAATTATCTTAAATCAATTAATTAATTTTGTCGACCCGCACTAGGCACATCAATAGGCAGCATCAATAATACTAACCTATATTCCATCCATTCGTTGTCGATTTAGGTAAAACGCGACATGGTTGCCATCAAACACGAACTGGATACCGTGCAGCAGGTGAAGGAGGAGATCGAGGAGCTGCGCGAATATGTCGACAGACTGGAGGAGCACACACACAGATGGAAGCTAAGACTTTTAGAACAAGTTTGTAGCTTAAATTATTTGCCATGTTGTGTAATTAAATACTTAAAATTTCATTTCTATTCATCTACCAAACAAAACACAGTCCAACAAAATGACAACCACCGAACCACCACCACCACCAACACAAATCAATAACATTCGCATGCTCATGTTGTGCAATCTATGGGTCAAAGACCAGGAGCCACATGAGCGTGTTTCTCTCATCAATCCCACACACATACAGACGGCTTTGTCATCAACTCACATTTTTATTAAATAAGTCTTAGATATTATTGTTTTATTATTTCTACGAATTTCTCCTAAGTTTGTAAATAAAAATTACAGAAATTCTCAAAAATAAAAGGTTGTACTCTGTTGGTTTTATTTTAATTTTAATTGATTTGCTATTATTATTAGAATTCAAATTAGATCTAGAGAATTGGTGCCCTTCCTTGCAAAAAAGTATGCTATAAAATATTAATAATTCTGTTTTACTTGCACACTCGTTTGCAAAGCGTTTGAAGCCTGCACAAGCCAACCCGCCCACGAATTACCAACCGGTTAATTATCCTCCCCCAGCCCCCTCCCCTTCCAGTCCCCAACTCTGGCTATACAAACCCATTAATGATTGTCTTCTCACTGCTTACAGGGTCTCACCTTCTTTCTCACCTACTCGATATTCTCGGCGGTGCTGGGCATGTTACAATTCGGCTACAATACCGGAGTCATCAATGCGCCCGAAAAGAATATCGAGAACTTTATGAAAGACGTGTACAAAGATCGCTATGGCGAGGACATTAGCGAGGAGTTCATACAGCAGCTGTACTCGGTGGCAGTCTCAATATTTGCCATTGGCGGCATGCTCGGCGGTTTCAGTGGCGGCTGGATGGCCAATCGATTTGGCAGGTTAGTCTGAATCTAAAACTAACAAATAGAACTCGTTAGTATACTAATTAACTTATGTCTGAGTAGTAAGTAAATTATAAAAAAGATTGTTGAAAATCCTAGTAGTGTACCCAAATGTTATATTTTTTCATTTATGTATATATAAGCGAGACAAGACCTATTTTAGAAGCGAAAACAAATGAAACGGAATGCAACTATAAACAACATTTAGCTTCAAACTAAACTAAAAACTAATTTAGATAGAATTTTTTTATTTTCGCCGCAGAAATGGTCCAGCACTGATAAATAGAAAACAAAAATGTTAAGAAACTTTAACTCCTATTGCAATACAAAACTGATATAATAGAACACCCCAAAAGAAAACAAACTAGCAATATAATTAGTGCTGTCCTACCCGACATCCAAATGCACTAATAAACAAAATCAAAGAAAAGTTGTATACCTGCAAATATGCATTGCTTGAAAAATATACTATATGTATAGGAGTATTTATATACCCAGTCTAAACATTTGGCCATATATCAGCTTGTTTATATGAACATTTATTACTAAGAAAGTAAACTACAATAGTTCTCTAGTGTTGCAAGCATTTGATTCGACGATTGGTCAAAAATAAGTGCTTCTTCCAGAAGTTGATTTATTATTTTGATGGCATACATTTAAAATAATATTTTTGTTGATAGGTCGAATAGCGATAGGTTATTATTTTAATTTGTTTGCTGCAACATATTCAAATGTGGATTCCAGTTTCATTTTCGAATATCCCTTAATGCTAACAATTTACAAATATTTTGCATTCATCCCACAGAAAAGGCGGCCTATTGTTGAACAATGTGCTCGGCATATCGGGTGCTTGTTTGATGGGTTTTACCAAAGTTAGTCATTCCTATGAAATGTTATTCCTTGGCCGATTTATAATTGGTGTTAATTGCGGTAAGTAATTGCGCATTGCAAACTATAAACAGAGCGCTATAGGTAGTTCCATGCTGTTCCATGCAGGTCTCAATACATCATTGGTGCCAATGTACATCTCCGAAATAGCGCCACTGAATCTACGCGGTGGCTTAGGTACTGTTAATCAATTGGCTGTGACTGTAGGTTTACTATTATCCCAGGTGCTGGGCATTGAACAAATCTTAGGCACTAATGAGGGCTGGCCGATACTGCTAGGTCTGGCCATATGTCCGGCAATATTGCAATTAATATTACTGCCCGTGTGTCCCGAATCGCCCAGGTATTTGCTCATAACCAAACAATGGGAGGAGGAGGCGCGCAAAGGTAACAAAACTGGAAACTCGCATTATCACCCAACTCATGTCATGGCATCTCCTCTTTGCTTTTCAATTTGGTGCAGCACTGCGGCGCCTGCGCGCCTCCGGCTCTGTGGAGGAGGACATCGAAGAGATGCGCGCTGAAGAGCGTGCCCAGCAGGCTGAGAGCCATATATCGACCATGGAGCTCATTTGCTCGCCAACACTGCGTCCGCCATTGATCATTGGCATTGTGATGCAGCTGAGTCAGCAGTTTAGCGGCATTAATGCCGTCTTCTACTACTCAACGTCGCTCTTCATGAGCTCCGGACTGACTGAGGAGAGCGCCAAGTTTGCCACGATAGGCATTGGCGCCATTATGGTGAGTTCTTCCTCTATTTACGGGCACGTTTAAAATTCCTCTGCAACTGTAACTCAATGCCCTCATGCAGGTTGCAATGACTTTAGTCTCCATTCCGCTGATGGATCGCACTGGCCGACGAACGCTGCATTTGTACGGACTGGGCGGCATGTTTATATTCTCCATATTCATCACAATTTCATTTTTAATTAAGGCAAGTACACGCGTTTCCAACGCCCTAGTCAATGCAATGCGAAATGCAAAATGCAAACCGCAGCCTCGGGCAAGTATCTCTATTAGCATCAGTTTCAGTATCCGTATCCGTATCTGTATCTGTATTTGTATTTGTATCCCTGGCCAGTTTTAGTGGCCATCTCTCTGTGTTTTGTATAATTAATTGCCTATTTAGCGGCGCTGGCTCTATGCGCTGCTTTTAAAACTTTCGGGCATTGCATTTTGTTTTGGTAATGATGCTCATGATGTTTATGATGTTTATGAAGATGATGATTACGATGATTGCGAATATAGTGACTTTTACTAAGCATTTGTTTGTGTGTTTGTGCTTTTGCGCGCTACTAAACCAAAATGCGTGCATTTGCGAATACATATATCTACATATCTACCTACCAACCTAGTACTTATATTTGAATATTGATATAAACGTTTTATATATTGCCTATACATATATATACCTACATTTTTTATGCATGAAGTTGTTGTGTAGCCCCAAAGTCCCCTAGCAACTGAACAGAACGATGGCATGACAGTTGTCCCGCGCGTATTCATACATATAAATAATTAATGTGAGATATATACTTATTTGAATTAATAATAAGTTTAATTTATAGCCCAGCGCCTATTTAGGGTTTGCCATTTTTCGTTCCATTTTCTCTATATTTTAGATTTATTTAAGTTACGCTCAGGCGCTTCAGTTCAGTAAATTTATACGATAATTTATAGCCATTACAGCCTTTTTTATTGAATGCAGTACACGCTCGATACAGTTACAAAATATAAACAAAAGAATGTGAAACTAATTCTGTATAAATTGTGAACAATAAAATGAACAACAATAAAGGAGACATTAACAATAAGCGAATGGAATGATCCGAAAAAGAGAAAGTGTTTCTACTACTGTTGAAAAGAAATGACGAAAAGTAAAATACATTATTTAAACATTTTTTACTAACGAAACAATTATTAATTTATTAATCTGTTTTATTTGACAGTTCGCCAAAATATATTTATTTCAAATTAATTTGTTTGTTTTAACAAACATTTTAATATCAAATCATATTAAAGAAATCAATTTATCTTCTTTGAGAAATTTCATGATTTGAAAAAAGAAAAAATATTCAGATAGAAAGCAATTTTACGAAATTCATACATTCAAATATTTGAAATGAATTGGAATTTATAATAGTTTTTGATAAAATTAACATTTGAAATATTTTTGAGATATGATTTTATGAGTATACTTAAGAATTATTAAAATCGAGCGTTTACTGTAGCCCTTAATTATATTTTAAGCTTAGTGATCAATAATTTATGTTATGTTGCATGCATTACACTAAATCTAAAAGCTTTTAGTAGTGCTTGAATTTAAAATGATACATTATTACAAATGGCTTCAACAAATTCAGTTACATTAATAGCACGTCGTTTGCTTGCTTGCCTGCCTGTTTATGTTGTGTTTAGGTTAAGTTATTGCATAAACGAGCTTGCAAGTAAGCGGAAAAGGGAGAAATAATGTGGAGAACTGCCCTTTAACCGGAAATATTTGGAAACAAGCTCGTTTATGCAATTGTCTCTTCCCCTGATTAGAAGCTATTCTCGACTTGGCAGGCTTTTTGCCCCCAAAACACACATAATGAGAATCATTTAACGAATATGCGGAGAAAAAAGAGAGAATTATTTACCATTTAGTTTTATTCATAGTTTATTACTTATGCTTTCTGCTTAATCGGGCTCGAAAATGTGTGCTTAAAAGCATTGTAAGTTTCTCACAGACACGGACACAGACACAGCCTCACACAACAAAAGTCTGAAAGTTTTAAGGCACAAAATGCAAAATTTCACACAAGATATAAAAAATATATATGTATAATAATAACATAATATTTTAGTAGAGAGCTGTCGCTCACACAAAATGGCAATTGGCAATAAAAGAGCAGAACACGCGCTAATATGCTTTAGTTGCAAAGTTTTCCACACACACACACACAGTTCCACACTTTGCCACACTTCTGGGAGTGTGCGAGATATGCAATACGCTGCTTAATCAGTTCATTTATAATTAGTTATAATTTTATTTATTAAGCTACGACTATTTTAGGTGAGATTTAAATGTTTAAGCAAGACTTTCTCAGCTCCCCGAGAGCCAAAATTAAATCCAACTCGAACTAACTAACTAAACTAATTAAGCAACTTGTTTATGCAAATTACTATTTTAAGTCGGAAACCGGAACAGCCTTCAACTCATGCATAAAAGTGTTTTTCGAAGTCAAGAATGAATTATTATGAAGACGCGTCTGTGGGTGGCAGGCAAAGGAGTTTCTTTAGCTTAACTCTTTCATTTTCATTTTAATTTCCATCGGATTATTATAATTATAATTGTCTGCGCGATAATGACTCTATGATTTGTTTTGGTTGATTCTTTGATTCGTTAAACTCTCAATTATATGGACAAAGAGCAAAAGAAAAGAAAAAGCCTACAAATCATCGAGAATAGGATTACTATGCATGTTGTATAGGAGTTTTTTGGTTATGTACAGGAAATGATCGACTGGATGTCATATCTATCGGTGGTGGCCACGCTCGGATTCGTTGTATTCTTCGCCGTTGGACCCGGCTCCATACCCTGGATGATAACAGCGGAGCTATTCTCACAGGGCCCCAGGCCCAGTGCCATGGCGATTGCGGTTCTGGTCAATTGGATGGCCAATTTTGTGGTCGGCATTGGTTTCCCAAGCATGAAGGTAAGTGTTAGTCTCAGACTAAATATTTTAAATGGAAATAAACTGCATAATCCAGATTATACACAGGATTTCAAAATTAAATATCCATTTTGTACAAAGAACGATTCCATTGTTGAATATCAGAAAAGAGAGAAAGAATTGAATAAGAGAATAAGAGAAAGAGTATAAGTAAAGCTCAAGCTCAAGCTAAGAGTGCCTCTAGTGCCATCTCTTAAGAAATCGTACAACTAATGTTTGCATTTTACTGTATGTATTTAAATGCAGCTTAAATATATAAATAAAACATTAACATTTATACAATTAGCATAGTAGGGATATTAAAGCAGAAATTTAGTATTTTTAAATAATATACATATATGATATATTTTATTTTTTGGAATACAGCTCTTTTTTTCAAACAAGGAAGCGAACTTTTATTATTTTATAAGTTTTCCATAATTTTTTCTCGTGTGCCATAAATGTGACATATAATCAAATTCATGGCTTCAGAATTTCCTATACTTTACGAATCGTTAAAAGTTGCTATAAAATTGTACGGAATGTGATTCAAAAGTAACAGATTATTCATAATTTTTAAACTTTTCTTAAATCATTTGAATTCGATCATTTTTTCAGACTGCCCTGGAGAACTACACCTTCTTGCCATTTAGCGTATTCTTAGCCATATTTTGGATATTCACGTATAAGAAGGTTCCTGAGACCAAAAACAAAACGTTTGAAGAGATCTTGGCCCTCTTCCGGCACAACAATGGCAGGTACGTACAACAAAGTTAGCCCTAAAGCACACACTTCTCATGACAAAAAACAAAAAAGAAAAGAAACAAATTCGAAATGTGATGCGTCCTCTGTCAAAAACTCCAATTCAGTACTCAGTCACATAACTCGTAACTACAAATAATGTTTTATTTTTCAAGAAAATGCAAAGTTCGAAAACATTCCCAAAAACAGAAAAACCAGAAAAGCAAAAAAGGCAGTGTCCATCATTTCAATTACTTGGAAGTTTATTATGCGGTTTGCATATATCATATATACAAATTATATATATTGCGCACACATATCTCTACCTCCTACAAACACATCAAATAGTGGCGTTGTAGGCCCCTCAGTTAATTAATTATTATTTCAAATTCCAACTCTTTGGTTTCGTTTGCGGCACATTTATTTACAAGAACACACACACATACACACTTTAATAGCTTTGAACTACTACTATTTATAATACAAAAAAAAAAACATATGCCTTCTATATATATATATATATATTAATATCACTGTACTAACCACAACAACAACAACTACTACTACAACAACAATCAAACAAACTAAACGCCTTAAAGGACTTTTCGAGATAGTAGACTGTACGGGTAAGTTGCATGATGTACCAAAAACGCGAGCCCTCTTTAATAGTATACAAAATATTCGTATAGGAATGTGCGGCGCGCTTTAAATGCCGCCTTCAATTCCAACTGCCAAGACACTTACGATTAAAATTGCAATTACAATTAAAAGTGCAAACTCTCGCTCTCGCTCTCTCTGTCTCCTCATCTCTCTGTCTCTATTTAAAGTAGCTCGTTCACTGTACTTTATTAGCTAAAAAAAACTAAAACTAAACTAAACAAAACAGAACCTAATTGTACATTTAAAATAAATAATAATATCAATTAATTTCAAAACCACTTGCGCTCAAGTTTCAACATTTTTACTGGCATGTCTGCTTAACTTTGCCTGACTACCTCGTTCGTTTCGTTCCAACATTACTATCTACAACAACAAAAAACAAAAACAACAGCAACAACAACAAAAAAAAACAAAAGCTAAAGCTGGCAACAGTTCAACATTAAATATCAATTTATATTTAGCAACAAACAAAATAATAATACCATACCCATTTAAATATTTAATATGAATTTTTTAATACTACTCTACTTATTACCAACCACCACCACCACCACTGCTACTCTCTATTTTAAAATGCCATTTCATTATATCAAGCGTTTTGTACCTCTCATGTCAACAACAAGAACAACAGCGGCAACAATAATTACAATAACAACAATAGCGCACACCAGCAATTCCAATTACAAATTTCTAATTCATAACACGTACCCGTTCTTCATCCCCTCACCCCATAATCTCGCTTCGAAACCAGCTCTGTCTTTATACTCCACGTTCATTGTTCATTATAATAATAAATTGGTTAGTTTAAAGCACCAAATTTTAATGGCCAAACACTCTCTCTCACACACATATACACACACACCCAAATACTTACACTACACCTATGCAAATCCACACACACACACACACCCTTACACACACCGACACTCACTTATTATGTTGTTTACCCATTTAGTGAGGACAGCGTTCATGACCACGGCAGTTGTTCGACGGCAGATATTGAAATATCGCAACGGGACTCTAATGCTGAGCGTCCCAAAATGCATTAAAATCTCCAAAACTGCCACCGCCACCACCCGCAACAACAACAGCAAATACAACAATTGCCACAATTACAACAACTATAGCTACAACAACATTAGCCTCCCGCCATCTTGTTTTTTTTTTTTATTAAATGTTATTAATTTTTTATTATTTTGCAGCAAAAAGATGCACACAATATGTTGTTTCAGTTAAGTTTACTTTTAGTTATTAATTGTTTAATTTTTTGTCGCACACACACACACGCACACACATTTTTCTATAGCTTTAGTTTTTTTGCCAATAAAAGAAAATGTTAAATAAAAACAATGCTTATAACTTCTTAAAAAAGTTTTGCATAATTTGCATATGAAAGCCGCGCTTAATAACTTCCAAGCAAAAAAAAAGAGAAAAAAGGGAAAACTTTTTCCAGCTACACATGACGTTTTCCTGCTACAATTAAGTAAATATATATAGCAGTCAGCCAGTCAGTCAGTCACTCAGTAAGTCAGTAAGTCAGTCAGTCGGTGACAGTCAACCAGTCTAGACGAACATACAATTTACACTTTTCCACTACATGCGTATATGAACTTTTTGTATGAGTGTATACCCCCACCCCCTATCTTTCTGAAATGTAACCAACAACCTATTTACATCTCCCCCTCCCCCTTCCACTACAGCCCCACAACCCCACAGCCCCACTACACCACAAACCTTTCATTCGTGTGCGTGACGCGTGCACGTCTCTGTCTCCGTCTCCGTCTCTGTCTCTGACTCTTGCCTTCTGCCTCCCGTGTTTGTGTAACTCAAAATTGCTCATTAGTTGCAAAATTAAACTTAAATACGTTTACACTTAAAACATAATCGTAGAGTGTGCGAATTTCAGGAGTATGCTAAACTGCACAAATAGCTTGGAGCCTCAAAGTATGAATTCTGGCATCGAGCATGCCGCATTGATGGTATCTGAGGAGAAGACCCAACATGACTCACGTAAGAATCTACAAAAAAAAAAAAAAAAACAATAAATAAATAATTACAAAAAAACAAACACACACACACCATTTACAACAACAAAAACAGAAATTAAATCAATTTTTTTTTAAAGAGATGAACTATTACCTCCCTCTCTGTCTGTGAAAATGTTGCCTTTATATATTTTTTTGTTTATTCTCACATTATTTGTTGTGCAAATTGCTCGTTCATAACTATAACAACAACAGCAACTAAAACAACAGCCAATTCTACAATATTTACGTATCAATGTTACACATACACACACACACATATATATATATATATATATATATATATATATATATATATATATATATTAAACAAACACACAAGCATATAGAAGCCAACGCCCTTGTTAAACAACAACAAAAAAATCAACACATGTGTAAACTTTACCTTTTAACTAACAACACTACTAAAAAAGACCTGTAAACTATTAACATACACACATACATACACACACACACACACATACACAACACACACTCACTCACACTCTAGCGTGTACTACATGTCGCATACTTAATGCCTGTACTACATGGCGTATACGCATTACACTCACATAGAAAGTGAAAATTATGAAAATATCACACCAAATTACGCATAATCATTTGTTTTGTTAACCCCGCTCCCATGTTTCTTCGGTTGATGAGCAATTAGCCATAAATGTTTTATTTATTTTTGCTATTAAGTTTAATATTTAAACACATTTTCACATTTCGCCATTCAAAAAATGTTTACTAACAACCAACAGCCATGCCAAACCCATTTTGCGCCTTTTCCACTCTCGCTCTTTAGTAATATTTTTTTATCAGCCATTTGCAAACTCGTTCGCATATTGTTGATGTCATTTGAGATGCTTTAGGCATTTAGAATTTGCTTTCCTAATTACTTATGTTTGTTTGTTCGTTCGCTACCCTCACTAGTTATCCTTCTGGCCATGCAATTGTACAGCCGGTTATCACAAGATCAAAGCAAATGCTGTGGTTAATAAATGCGTACCGGAGAAAAAACAGCTAATTGTTTGTGGCTGCAAAAGTCAGCTTGAATGGGATGTTAAGCAACCAATTCTAGGAATGGCTGTGTATGCAAAATTGAAATATTTATCCACTACAATGCAAATTGTGGCTTGTCGAATTTTGGAAGCATTTAATTCAATTTTCGTCATATTCGGGTAAAATAATGAGCAGTTCCTCTACTTAGCTCAATATTTTATCATCAGCAGACTTTGCTATCGACTTTAGGCAAATTAAATTAAATTAATTATTAAATTAATTGATCCCTCCAAGAAATTAAAAAAACAATAAAACTTAAGCTACAAATATCATACAAATATAAGCTTCATTAATTTAAAAAATAATAACACATAAACAGCGAAACCTTATATACTTACTATGTAATATATTTTGTTTTAGTCAGACAGCCAAATTATTTGCAGTCCAACATATTGAAATGTGTTATTATATACAAGTAATGTAACTTCAATCAAAAGATAAAAAAATATACTTTTTTTTGCTATAAAACAAACGTATCTGTAGGTTTCCAAATTTCAGCCATACTTTTTAAATGAATAAGTGCAAATAATTTGTATGCACTGAAATTCTTTAAATATTTTCAATTGTTTGCTTCACATCCAAGCTATCCAATATATGAAATCGTTTCTATCAGAATCAAGTCAAGGGTTTTGCCGAAGCTATTATAGACAGCAATTTGAAAGCTGATCAAATATTAAATATCATCTTGTACAATTGCATGCCGGCCAATCATTTTGTTAACTGTCGAATTCAATTTATAGTTTTTGTAGCTGCTTGTAAAATTGTCGTAGCGAATTGGTCTAAACATATAATACTAATAATATTTATAGTTATATATATATATATTAAATAATCAATAAATACTATTTTTCTAACCAATTAGATTTTAAAAAAACTATTTAACAATTAATATATTTTTTAAAGAACAAAAAAATATAAATTGATTTCTTCCATATTCTTTATTTTCATTCGTACAACAACATTTTTGGCATTTATGAATTTTTAATGTTCAAAACCAACAACAACAAAAAACAAAAAACTTCTCATACAAATCCTTCAATTCAATCTAACTATTGGGCCTTGAAACATATTGGATATAATCAATCAACCATCAAATGGATCTTTTCACAACAATAACAAAAACAAAAAACACACAAATACGCAAAACAAAAACAATAATTACCAAATGCTGTATGTAACCAAAACTGAAATATGTTTGCAACAACAACAACAACAACAATAATAATACCAAAAACAACAACAAACAAACAAATTGGCATTTGTGCAAATGCATGAAAATTAAACTGAGATGTAAAAAAACAAAACAAAAAATATTTAACCCTATAACATTTGATTGAAAACCTGAAACTAAACTAAAGTCTTTGGTACGACTTCGTTTTCATTGACGGTTGAAGGCATGGGTCCCTACCCCCTAAGCGATAGCACCAACCTCTTGGGTCCAACATCGACAAGTTATGCGAGCGGGCCCGGAGGCGGCATAGGCTCGGCAGCTTGCTACACGAACTATGGTACAAATATACAAACGCCAGTTCCTAATCGAAAGTGCTACTACGATGAGTCTGACTATGGCGGCGACGGCTTTCGGAGGCACTCGGCGCACGGCAGGATGTCGATGTCATGTACGTCCGCCACAGGTAGAAGTGTAGAACGATACTCGTACTGTACTTTGCAAGCAAAGCAGAGCCACCGCAAGCAAATGGTCACCGCAAAACGTACTCACAGATAATCTATCTACTACTCGTACCTACTTACATGTACTATATATATATATATACATACTCGTACATATAAAGCCACCATAAGTTTAACAAGTATCTTGAAGCAAGCGCCACCGCCTTGGGCAACGTATTTACAAAGCATTTACACAATAATGTCGCGCCTACTTGACTACTTGAAAATGCTATACTCGTAAAATAAGAAAAACACCACCGTACTTCACCTTGCACCCCAGCTGATCAAAAAGAAAATAACGCTATACCTACCAATAAAAACTATTTGAATATTCTATGCAACTGAAAACTGCTCGCATTCAAATCACTTGATATACCCTGTACCAGAGAGAGCATATACTCGTACCTATTGTCACCTGTGTGTAAAGAGGAAGATCATAAACTGCTCATCTGCGCATCCTATAATAATAACATTCCTATTTAAGATTCTTGATGCATTCAAATGCCAATCATAAGAATAAGGCATTAAGAGCTGGTGCACAAAATAGTAGCTTATAAACATGTACTTGTACCTAAATATGTCCGAACTATATCGAATTTGGGGGAATGGTAGCCCTATCATAAATGTCTTGTATTTCCTTTCCGTCAGGAACTTTGATAGGCACTTGAGTATTATATTTATTTTGTATTCTATTTTCTACAATCTCCTTTGTTATAATCAAGTTACCAATAAACTTTATAGTGGTACAGGGTATTCCATAGTCGTATGCACACGACTATACCGTTTTATCTCTAGGTTAATAAGCGCAACGAACTGCTGACAGTTCGATTTAATCTAATGGAACATTGAATTGTAACTAAACAAAATTTCCCTTCATTTTGAATTAATTTTAGTCCTCGTTTTTTATTTTAGTACGCAACTGAAAGCTAGCTACGGACCAACTAAAGCAAAAATTGGCTAAGTACATAAAATCAAATTGAAAACATATCAATAAACCGAATGTGAACAACACTACGACTACTGACCACCAATTCACACCAACACACAAAAATATCAGCCATACACTGCCACCCTATAAAGTGCCAATACATGACATGCTACTCATCATTTCAGTTATTTATATAATTGTTGACTTAATATATAGTTTTTACTTTACAGCTATAGCATGATCTTTAGTCTGATATCTAGCCTGAGCATGTGTCATTATTGGCATGAACTTTTTGCATGCACTGTTTGAACTAACTAAACAACTTTAAAGTAAATCAAAGTAAACTAAAGCTAAAGCGCCTCGCTGCACTAAAAAAATTTAAAAAAAAAAAAACAAAAAACAAAAGAAAAAACGAACACAAAAAGAAAACAAACCAAAGGAAAAGAAAAACAATTAAATTTGGTTGCCACCATTTTATTAAATAGCCTCACATTTGGTTTTCAATCTCTATTCCTTTTTGCTTGCCGCACGATCGCGCGCGCCTCTCTTTTTCCCGCTCCCAACAGCTGCATCCGAGCGATTTTTAGAAGGCGGCCGAAGTACACACCAGGGCCGGAACGCTGCCTCTGTGCCCCATCACCTTCGTCAGCAAGCACCTGTCTGCCAGAACAGCGGGCCTTGACTGAGGAACAACACCAGCACCAGCGCCACACCTCCTGAAACTGCCATCAGTGTACACTCAGCAGCAGCGTCAGCGGCCAACGCTGATGCCGAGCAGCAGCAGCAGCAGCCTCATCCGCATCCGCATCAGCCACACCAGTCTAGATATACACACGAATATGTACATTATAGCTATGAAAAGGATATCGTATGTGAACAAACTCCTCAGAAACAGCAGTCCCAACAGCCACAACAGCAGCCGGGATCCTCCTCAGCTGCCAATGCCATGCACTGCCACACAAATTCCGCCGCCTACAGTGAAGCCACTATTCCACATTGCCATCAGCAATCGCAGCCACTGCGCAAGCACAGTCACAGTCACAGCCACAGTCCGCATCACAGTCGCCACACCTCACCGCACAGTCGCCACACCTCACCACACACCAACAGTCAGCACTCGCAGTCGTCCTGCATGGCAACCCCAGCCGCAGCCGCGGCTGCAGCCGCAGCGGCTGGTCATCAACATCATCATCATTATCGCCGTCGAAGGCGCCAGCACAGCGCTGGCGGCGGCAGCGGTAGCTTGCCAGGCGCCCACACGCATCGCAGTCCACATGATCAACCACGTCATGGTGCCGCCAGTGTCTGTGCCCGGCGCCATCGTTCGGTCACAGACGTCTCCTGCTGCAATTCGGTGCACGCCTGCCAGGATCCCGCCTGTGCCGATCGTGAGGTGCAGGAGATTCTGGTGCGCAAGAATTGCTGCAGTTCCTCCTCGCGCACTGAGCTCGCCCAATACTTTGCCGAGGATCTCTACGGCAGCTCGCGCAGACCCTCCTCCTGCTGCACTTCGTCGGACTACTGTTATCAGACGGACTCGACCAGTCTATATGGCTCGCGCTCCTCCCTGAGTCGCAACAACTCCATCAAGTCCGCCTCTGCTGCCATCCGCAAACAGCAGCGGCTGCAGCAACGACAGCCCAGTTACACTTCCATCTCGTTGCGAGCGTTGAATGCCAGTCGCCCAAACAGCCAGCTGGGCTCGCTTACCTCCATATTTGATCGGGCAAAGCAGATTGCAGCGGAGGGCAAAGGCATAGAAGATGTGGTGACCCCCTCTCGAGGCTCCACTCTGGAGCGGCACAGCTCCAAGGGTGCGCTGAGTAATGAGCTGCCCGAGTATGCGTGCTCTCCCTCGCCCATACGCTGGAGCTTTCTAGCCGATGGTCGCTCGCCCACAGAGCTGGAGGCCACTGTGGGGGGCAGTCAAACAGCCAGTGTGGAGAAACTGGATGCCTGGCAGCTGACAGAACCGGACAAAGACAGCGACAAGCAAAAGGAGAAAGAAAATGAGAAGGAGAGGAAGTCCTGCCGTAAGCAGACTGCCGGGCAATCGGACAACAATTGGAAATCAGTTTATGATGAGGGTCCGAGCACCTCGGCGGCAGCAGCCGCAGCGGCGGCGGCGCGTAAAAGACGCGGCAGCTCCTTTCATTGCGAGTTCGAGGAGTCCACAACAGTGCTGTTCCATCAAGAGGGTGAGGCATACAACAATTGTTGTAACAACTACATTCAATGCAACACGTACTTGGATCAGGACCTGCAAATAACTAGCGAGGACATTCACCAATATCTGTCTAAAGGCAATCATGCCGAGGGCAATATACTCAACAATTCCAAAAACTATCCCTTCCAGCCCAGCAACGCTCTAGAGTTTCAATACAAGAACAACTTTGTGGCCAACAACGGCAACACAAACACCACCAACACAGCCTCCAGCGATGCTGGTGAATGCTTCCAACGCTACGAGCTCAGCTGTCGGCGCAACTCCAGCAAGGAGACGAATCTGAATCAGAATGCCAGCTTAACCAGTGAGGTTCCGCTGTCGCCAACCAACATCAATCTCTCGACGAGCACCAACAACATCAACATTGTGTTCAACAGCAGCCTGGAACGCAACGCCAATGAGGTGAAGTTCATTAATAATCGAGACTCCTCGGCTGGGACCGGCCTCGTCTCCTCGGAGGCGCATCATGCGGGCTACCTGCCCTACAGCTATCCCAGCTACGACTACACAAATATGTCGGCCAACTCGCAATTCGACAAGCCGCTAGGCATAGATGAGCTGCCCAAGGAGTTTGCTGGGGGCGGAGGAGGCGCTTCTACCACCAGCGAGCATTCCTCCTCTCTACACTCGCCAGTGCATGGTGGAGGAGTAACCGATGTCGCTGTTGGCGTCTCCTTTGAGTCCTTCGATGCTGCCTCGGAGCACAATTTGTTGTCGCAGCGCAGCAGCTACCAATACTCGCCGCCCACAACACACACACCCCTCTCACCAGCCTCTCCGGCCTCTCCATCCGTCAATCCAGCCGGCGATGATTACGTCCATATTCACCATCATTCCCACTACGATTTTGAGCAGCCACCACACTCTCCTCACAGCCAGCAGAGTCAGCACTCGCATTTTCACCGACACACTCACTCGCATCCGCATTCGCACACGCACAGCCACGCCCACTCGCACGGCTATGAGTCGCACGCCCATGCCCACACTCATGGCCATGGTCATCCTCATGGCCAGACCGAGGAGCAGTTCCGGCTGGGCAATGCTTTGAAGAAGGTGCGCAAGCGTGCACGCAAATACACAGATTTTCTGCGCAAGAAATAAACGCACTGCCACGCCCCCACCCAGATTCGCCCACACGCCCAACCCCCCAGTCTGACTTATGCAAGTACTCTCTTCCCCCTCTGGCCCGATCTCTAGATTCGCCGTATTTTGGCCGCAAATTCGTGGTCGTCTCGAAACCGAAGCCGCGACGAGCGCAAAGTCTGGACGAGGATTAGCTTCCCGTCACCTCCAAAAGATCAGAAGCAGGAGCGGGAACCAACACACACACTCACACACCATCAGCTGACTTGTACGGTCATTTAAAACGGATTTTTCGACATCGAAAAGCAATCAAAAAATACTAAAACACTTTCATGCACACACCACACACTCACATTTGTTTAATTATCTAAACTAGAAGCCAGGATAAAATAATGATGGAGAAGGTTAAAATTAAATTAAATTTGTACACTGCCAAAAAACGAAAAGAATAACCATGTAATTAACATTAATTTGTGGTTACAATTTTTCAAGCGGAAATGGAATATCTGAGCCAAACAATTCAAGCTGCCGTTGTGCGCTATTCACACACACACACACACACACAATCACATTTTTCATACTCACACACACACACACTAACACTGTATAAGAAACCAAGAAAAACAACAACACGTGGAAATTCTTAGCTAGCTATTAATAGTACGATGTGCGTGTAGCACAACAACAACAACAAGAAGAGCAGCAAAAGCAGCAGCAAAAATAGCATCAAGAAATGAAGAAGAAAGAACAACAACAACAACAACGACTATTTTAAAAATAATTAAGCTAGAAGACAACAGTGCGTATACATAATATGACATTTGTATATTAAATATAGCGATAAGTACAGGTTTTGAATTGAATATTTAAATTAAAACAAACAACCAAGCAAATGAACAAAATAATAATAATAATAATACAAATAATATAAATAATGCACAATTACTCAGCATGAATATATAAGAATTATTATGTAAGAGGAAGCAGCGCAACAATAACAACAAAATTAGAGTTTCAGCAACTGCAGTAAATATTAATAATAATTAAAATAAAAAGCGTAAATTTTAAATAAAATTGCAGAACAAGATAAGGAAGTACTGTAGTAGACGACTTAAAGGAGGAAGATGCAACATTATGGGGCATACACTTGCAATAAGTTAAATATTAAAATAATATTCATAATATTAATAATTAATGGGGAGTTTTTTATTTATTTATTTGATACGTACGTATTTATCGTTAAACAAGTTTCTTCAGGGACTGCTTGCAATTTTTTAAATAAGCAATAAGCCGTTTTGCTCAGTAAGAATTTGTTATACTCGTATATGTATCTTCTGATCTATTAGTGTCTCGTTTCCATATAATTGTAGAAAATGTTTTCGTTTCTTTCTTATTTAATCGATTCGATTCAGTTTTTACATTTTGATTTTAACTTGAGTGTGCCGTTCGATATATGAACAAAGTTAAAGCAGAGAGTTGAAAGCAAAGTTCAGTTCCAATTTAAATTGCATTTTCTAGACAATCCAGATAATTGTTTATAATGAACATTCCTTTGCTTTCATCGAATACTCGAATGCTCTCGCTGTGTCTGGGGCTCGAAAAGGATGCTGCAAGCTCGACTCTTAGCCAATGATTTGTATGCATTGACATTGACCCAACAACTGTCTTCCAATTATATTCTATGAAGGATCTTTTGATTTCGGAATTCTTTTTTATAAGTATAAAGATATGATGATGATATGAAAATATGATTTCATCATAATCGTTGAATCAAACGTACCTTGCGTGAAAACAAAATGAAAAAATCAACTGTAAATAATCGCTGTTAATTAATTAATAACTTAATTTAAACAATATACATAATTTGTAGTCACTAGCTGAAATCATTTAAAACAAAAAAAAAAACACGAAACCAAACAAAACAAATGAATAGATGAAGAACAGAAATAAATGAATAAATAAATATAAATGCACTGCCAAAAAAGGTTTTAAGTAAACGAAAAAAGAACAACAACATCAACAAAGTTTAAACAACAGAAACAGAAAAAGTAATTAAAAACAAATATAACATTTAAAGGAAACCAAAAACTGCTGTAAATATAAGAATGAATACATATAGAAAATCATAGACATTTTTTAAAGGCACATACTAATTAACGAAGCGTATGCAATTTGCAGATTTTTTACATTATTTTAATGAACTAAGTAATATTAACGAATAATAGCAAAGAAAACGCAAAAACCATTAACAAATGAGTTGAAATTATTAAAATCTGAAACTTAAAGCAAAACCAAAATAATAAGGAAATATGCAGCGCTGGGCATTAAAAGCAGCCGAGCAGCCGCGATTTTGTAACAAAATCAAAAGCAAAATGTTAACATTGCATAAAAGTTATAAAGAAAAATAGAAAGAAAGCAAAGTATGTAACGAACCAAGTGTTATGTTTACGAACGATATCGAATGGACGGGCAAGTTCGAACTGATAGGCAGATCGGATCAAGATCTGCATCTGGATCTGAATCTGGCCTGCATATCATTGTGAGCGCCTTTGGGTCGAATATTGTGAGCATTATTCTAAATGTAAATACAACCAACTAAGTTAATTAAGAGATACAAACTATGAAGGAATATACGAAATTAGTTAATGAACCATTACAACAAAACAAACAAAACAAACAAACCAACAAGCAAGCAAGCAAACATACAAACAAATAACTAAAGCATACAATTTTAATGTTCACGTAGCAAAAGGACAAACGATTCAAAACAATTTAAAACAAAACAAAAACACTTTAACAAAATACACATGCAAAGATACAAAAGAATTTTTAGTGCCACACACACACACACACACACACTTGCGATTGTAATACAGATTTAAAAACCAAAACAAATACAAACTAACTAAATTTAATAAGCAATTTAACAAAAGATCTATGATAATCATAAAAAATTAATGAATAAATAAAAAAGAAGAACGAACACAAAGAACAAAGAAATTAACAAACTAACAGCAACAATTAGACAAAAGCGCAATAAAAATGTGAATTATCGTATATATACATATAGCCGAATTAAACCCAATTGAAGCGAACAGAGAGGATGCAGATACATATGTATAGTCTAGGGCAGAGCATTATTTCCTTTATGTGATTGGTTTTTATGAATACTCGTGCTGACGTATTTGCAAAAACACGCGATAGTTTTCTATCCTCATTTCCGAACACTCGTATGTAGTATTTCGATGCGATGAAGGGCATTAACAAAAGAATTAAATAAAAGCGTTCTACATAGCATTGGTCATAACAATATATAGTTGTGTACATAACTAGTTAAAAATTATGTATAATGAGAAAATGCAGTTACATTATATATATAAATACACACACACACACACACACACACGCAAATATATATATATACATAAAGGTGAATCGTTAGACACAGACACAAACACACACACACACAAACACACACACACACAAACACACCAAACCTACAAACAGGCAGACAAACATTTACCTTAGTAGTGGAAGCAGAGGGGAACGAGATTTGGGTTGGTCTAAAAAAAACTAAAGATGAAAAATAAAAAGGCAACTTAAAGAAAATGAAATTGATAATTATGATAATATACAACAATAAACGTGGACTTAAGTATATAATTATGAATTTAAATTAATTTTAGCAAAACAGAAAGAACTCTAAACACTCTGAAGACAACAAATATTATTGAAAATAAATTGATGACGAGAAATAAGTAAAGTAATTGCTCAATTTAGCAAGGAGTATAAATAAAGAATTATACGTTAAGTAATAATTTCAAACAGCAAATGTGTTTTATTTCAACTGTGGAGTGGGGGAAGGAATGGCTGCTGACCTGCATGCACTTCATATTTAAGCAATTGCATTAGAAATGTAAACAAACACGATCCTTACTGTGCATTGTGAAACGTAAACAAACTGGGATCCTCCTATTGGTTGCATGTTAAATGTAAACATAAGCAAACGAAATGCAAACAAAAGTCAGCTGCTTAACATTAAATAAACCAGCAATGCATTTGCCTACTGCTCATTTATGTTCACCTGGTAGACAATGCTTGTTTAAGTTTCGTTAAAGGGCCGCCGGCCACTTGGTTGAAATTAAAAATGCTCGGTTAAGTTTTAATTTCGATCGATTTCACCAGGCGATCATAAGTGAGCAGCAAGTAAGCAAGGTAGCTGGGGTTTAAAAGGCGAATGTAAGCAAAAATCAGAGGCTCACAACAGCTGCACGATCCTAACGGCGCCTTCCGAAAAGTAAACAAGCTGAAGTTGTTTTGTAAACAAAATGGGGCTCTCTTATTGGTTGCATTTTAAATGTAAACAAATGCATTTCTAACCGTGCATCCCGAAATGTAAACAAAAGTCAGCTGCTTAACATTAAATAAACCAGCAATGCATTTGCCTACTGCTCATTTATGTTCACCTGGTAGACAATGCTTGTTTAAGTTTCGTTAAAGGGCCGCCGGCCACTTGGTTGAAATTAAAAATGCTCGGTTAAGTTTTAATTTCGATCGATTTCACCAGGCGATCATAAGTGAGCAGCAAGTAAGCAAGGTAGCTGGGGTTTAAAAGGCGAATGTAAGCAAAAAGCACAACAGCCGCACGATCCTAACGGCGCCTTCCGAAAAGTAAACAAGCTGAAGTTGTTTTGTAAACAAAATGGGGCTTTCTTATTGGTTGCATTTCAAATGTAAACAAATGCAATTCTAACGGCGCATCCGAAATGTAAGCAAAAATCAGCTGTTTAACATTAAATAAACAAGCAATGTATTTGCCAACTGCTCATTTATAATTCTAATAAATACAATTAGATTATCAGTTATTGAACAGTATCCATAGGGTAGAAGGGTATATTATACAAGGACTCCAAACTATGAAAGGCTAAACATTCATTAGTAAGTTACTGGTTGAATCCGATTTATTTTAAAAACTCTTTTCAATTCAATGTTCGAACTTATTTTTTAAAAGCTACTTAGAAACGTACTTTTTGAGAATCGAATGCAATCGAAAATCGATGACGCTTTTGGCAGGATGTCTTACTTTTTAGCCAGCACTGTGCAGCCCGGTGGTGTGCGCATGCCCAGGACCCATGTGGTACCGTCAAAACATCCACGCCGATGTCCGTCAAGTCCTATATACACCCCTCAGGAGGATGCAACTGATTGCAAAAAGTTTGCAAAAATGAAGGTTTAGTTTCTCATAAAAATGTTGACTGCCCTGCGGCGAAAATTTCGTTTAGGCATGCAGCGTACAGTTTTGATTGCGGTCCTGCTGGCGGTGGGCGTGTTCAGCTACGCCTTTTTAAATTTAAAATTCTGCTATAAGATCATGTCACATCGCAGTCTCACGCAAATGGTAAGTAAGCTGAGGAGTGGCTGAGGAGTGGGTGCTCCTAAGGACTAACTAATGGTCGATTCAATCCCGATAGTGCCAAAAGTACGAGCAGCACGAGTATAGCGGATCGTTGTGTGAGGAGCTCTGTGGCAGCCAGAAGAGCTTTGACAATTTCCAATGTCCGCTGAACGACATGAAGACGATTTTGTTTACGGCTGAAAAGAATGGCGATATGTATGCGGTGAAGGTAGGTCAGTTATAGCCGCTAGTAAGCGTTGCCATGACATCTCCTGTTGGCAATTACAGCTGGCCAAGCACAACGACGATGAACTGAGTTGGACGAATAGCAATGGTGAGGCCATCTACCCCAAAATCGAGGAATTCCATGAAATCGTGAAGCTCCACATCATTCTCTCCTACAATGTGACGCTGGACGACAATATGGTAAGTGTGCCGTTCCCTCGAGACAGCTCGCCTGACTCTCAGCTACTCTCGACTCTTCCAGATACGGGCGCTGGTCAATCAGGAGATTGCAAACAACAACTCGCAGCAAATGATGAGCTTCTGGCGTCTCTTCAAGGACAACAACTACATGATGGGCAAACTCTTCGACGAGGAATCGACGTTCCCCGCAGTCCTCGGCTCCTGCGGTCCCTACTACGCCACAGAGAGTTTGCAAATTGTGCAGTCAAATCCGAGCATTATGCAGTATCTGTAAGAAACAAGCTATATAGTATATAAGGGACTAATTGTCTAATTCTTGTGATACCTGTCGTACCAAATAGCGCCTCCAATCGCCAACAGCGTCTGAAGCATGCGCTCAACATCATGGAGTACATTTTCCGGCTCGATGAGATGAAACCGGAGCCTCTCAAGATGTGCAAAATGCAGGTGAACCGCTTCGGCGTGACGACAGACAGGCGTCTGAAGTACCAGAGTGCCGAGCACATCTATGTGGAGAGTCAGCTGGACAAGCGCATGTCGAGCGGATCGGCATGCCAGGCGCACGCCGACTGCAGCTTCCACGCCTGCCGGGGACTGTGCGATGCCGAGCGGCAGAAGTGCACGCACATCGAGCAGAACAACAACTTTCAGATCTTCTGCGAGCACATCCTCCTGGGCAGTGGCACCTTTCAACCGGGTCTGCTGAGTGGCATTCGCATGCCCAGAACCCTCCAGCTGGTGCTCAAGCAGTGCATCAATCCCTCGAAGGAGCATCAAGTGCCGGGTCGCAGACAGGCCCCAAATGTTCAGCTCGCTCTGCGGCTCTACAATGAGCTGAAACAGTTATACCAAGCAGTGTCCACGGGCGCCTCATCCGCGACGGCCGCAGATGCCAGTTTGAGACAACAGGGACGGAAGTAGGCGGCGCTCAACAAGCTACAACTTTTCAACTGTGGTCACACAGCCAAATAATCTGCACACTACGTCTTACTTCTCTTGAAAGCAATAGCACTTCCATAAACACGATTATTTCTCTTTTGCATAATTTGAAGAGTTGTGTGCAAACTATTTGCCCGTCGGACCGCCGCTCCACACTCACATGCACACAAATAGTTCTAATTTACCTAAATAAATAAAGAAGGTTTTTTAATGTATTGGAAAACAGCGGTTGGCGCTTTGAGTTTTTCTTTTTTGTGTGGTTTTTATTTCATCGATTGTTGTAAATCATGTTTTGTTTGTTTCTTGCGTTTTTAAATAATTAATTGCAACAATTTTTTATTTGTATTGTAGCTAGTTCTATTATTATTTAGCTTCCTGATTTATTCTATAAATTAATTCGCTTGTTATTTACTTTGTTCTTCTATATAAAATTCAAACGCAACTTTGATGATGCGCTTTAAAAGTTAAAATGTTTGAAAAAAAATTAAATAGTTGCATGTAGCATCAAAACTTGAGTTGAAAATTTATATAGTTGCGCGCTTAAAGTGCCCAAATATTTGAAAATTCTTTCTAAAGTTGTTCATTTCCTTTCGTATTGTTAAGTGTATTTTTTCTCTTTTTTACGCTTTACGCTTTAAATCACATTGAAAACGTTTTGTTGTTGGTATTTTTCGAAAAAGTACAACGTGCACATTTCTTAAGAGTTTAATTAGTTAGCTTTGTTATTTTAAATATAGTATTTATTAACTTATTTTTTCCTTTATTTTTTTGTTGTTTTTTTGTCAATTATTGGCGCTGCTGCTACTTTATTTGTTTAATTTATATCTCCGGCTAACAAGAATGTGAGACTTTCCTCGATATTATATCTTCATCTATATGTTTGAATGAGAATTATTTTCTTCAGGCATAGGCAACCGTTTACTAGCATTTAAGTATTTTGTATAATTTAGAGTTTAAAGTTCTGTATTTTTCGTTTCACTGCTGCGTGCCTAAGGGGAGAAGTGTTTTTTCACTTGTATTATAATTCTCAGTTAAGTGTGGCAGATATATCAATTACAATTGCTATTTATCAAGGTTGAGAGTTACAGGCCGTTTAAAATTGTTAGCATAATAAATACGTTTCAGCGCTTCCTTAAAGCCGTTTCCAATTGTTCCGTACAATACAGAATACAGTGAACTAATGTTTTAAGTAAATTATAAAAAAGAGTAGAAAATCTAATAGATATTTTTTAAGTTTTTCCATTTTGTTTACATTTTTCGTTTGCAAAAAGTGCTATTCGCTCAAAAATTATTATTTCATTTGTTTTTAAGTTGGTTTGTTGATTTCATTATGTATGTGTGTGTGTTTAATAGGCAATCATATCATTATTATTTTTCTTTTTTTTTTGTGTTGTTGTCGTTAATTTAAAGTACATATTTCTTGATGTTATTGTGTTTTTCCCTTTGTATGTATTACAATTACTAAAACATAAATGAATTGCTTTATAAAATGTGACTTAATCTAAACTCAAAACATTTCCGCTTATGTGCTTGCTATGGCTAAGTGGAGTTTTTGGGCCTTGGATGACCATCCAAAGGGTTAAGGGTTGTGTAAAAGCGAAGCGGGTTTAAATTGAAATGGAAATGATTTATCATACCGAAATAATGAACAAACTGCCTGTCTAATCGTAAATTTCAAATGTCAATGTGCGTGCGTGTGTAAATGTGTGGGTGTTGTGTGTGTTTGTGAGTCTTGACTTCCGACTTCTACATTGTCTTTATGCCGTTGTGGGCGAAGCAGCTGCTGCTGCTGTGGTCGTTGTTGTCGGCGGATGTGTGGCATTCACCACACGTCCCGGCGTGTTGGCGTTCTCCAGAGTCTTCGAATGCTGCAGCTGCATGAGATAATGCTGCTGTGTCGGCTTGTGGAGCGCCAGCTGCGAAAGCGCATCTTCGATGGTAAACCACTGCCGCTTGCGTCCAATGCTGCGCGAATCCTCCCATTCGTCCAGTTCTTGGGTAACATTCATGACAAACACCTCAGTGCGATGCATGTGATCATTGTTCTGCAAAGAATTCGGGAGTAAATTAGCATATAGGCCCAGCTGAGGATTGCGTTAAATGGCACCTCAAAAACACCAAGGCATCGGCCAAGACTACCAATAACTCCAGCCTCCTCAAGCACCTCACGCACGGCAGTAACTGAGGGCTCCTCTTCGGGCTCCACTCCACCACCAGGCACAATCCAGAGCTCAGGACGGCGTGAGGAAGTCACCAACAGCACCTGCGGAGTATAATTATAGTTAAAAAAGTGTTCTCAAAATGGAACAGTTTCGAATGCTTTATAGATAGCAAACTTGGCTAAAAAACAATAGTATTGTGTGCTTTCATTTTGGCAAAGGAATTTATATAATTATTTATTTAAGTACATTAATGAAGAATTAGGACGTAGAAACTTAATGTGGAAATCACATACACTAGATCTAGAAAAACTGCTCATATGCTTTGTATAATTTGAAAGTATAATCAATTTCAGAAAACAATTGTAATTGTGAGGATCCAGAGCACATTGAAACGAAAGACAGATCAATTATTTAGCTTTTACAAATTTACTCAATGGTTCAAAGAGTGAGTGCTGTATGTTATCCTTTATCATATAAAAAGAACTTTGCAATTACAGGTTTGTTAGTCATCAGCATAATCGGCGGGTCTTAGAAGAATAAGAGTGAATTATATTATTATAATGATTTTCCTATACAACACATTAGGTTATATATATAGTACATACACGTATGTGTATAATTAATTTTGGTGTTCCTTCAGAGGAATATAAATCAATAAGTTGCTATCATTTCTATCTGCGAATGGGTTCCATTAATCTCAAACTTAAAGTCTAACAAAATAGAATGAAATATAATTGAATAAATTTTGTTAAATTTATTAACACATATCGAACTTACCTCAGCCTCGTTTTCAGCACGCACGCATATGCAAGCAGCGCGCCGTCGGAAACCATCCTTATCGTAGATGCGCGTCGAGTTGGGCTTTTCCTTGACCATCTGCAAAATGCGAACAGTTTCTTGAGTGTTCGAGCGTGAAGAGCAAAAAATAAAAAACAAAAGCAAGGTGGGTGGAAGCGCCGTGCTGATTTACAGCTATTTGCACGCCTCAGTCATATTTCGTTGGCGCATAAATAAGGCACACACACTTAAACATGATATGAAAGAGAGCGGCAACAGGCTTTTGGGTTGTTTGTTGATAAGCGCGCTGCTATTTATCATTTTATAGCCATCGCGTTTAATTTGAAAGTGCGGGCGGACGGGACGCACGAGAATCGTGATTCCGCCGCTTATCAGATATCAGATGGTAAACGCCGCACCCGAGTGCAGCAGCAGCGAAAGCGTCGAAAAGCGTGAGCCTAGCGCTCTTATCAAGCCCAGCACACACTCTTTATTTCTTTTTCTATTTTTGCATCGCTGATAATGCGACAATTATTTGGCTTGTTATGAATGGTGGTCGTTCTATATTCACCTGACCGAACGTCTTTGGGCAACTCACCTTAATAAGTGTAAGTACGAAGTGGTAATGAACGCTGAAAGCCACCAATTCGATCGGCCAACAACAAGTGTGTTGTTGTTGCCTGCTGCCTGTTGCTGTTGCGCAGCTGTCTGGCCTAGAAGCCGGTCTCGCGTGTCGTATCTCGTGCCGACGCAGCCCCTTCTCTGTCTTCTTGCTTCTCTGAGCAGGTGCTTGAGCGTGCGCTTATGAAGATCGCTTTGAAGTGCGGCTCTGCACTTAACGTCGACGCTGGCGGATGTGACTGCGACTGCGGCGACGACGGTGGCGTCAGCGTCGTTGTCTCGTGTTTTAGTTGCGACAACGTACACAAAGAAAATGAAAATGGCAAAACAAAAAATGCACAAACAAATTGCGCGAACGGTACGAAAATATAAGATGGTCGCACGTCACAGAAAACCAGTCGTATGTATTGGTCCGCGTGTGTGTGTGTATATATAATTTTGTGTGTGTGTGTGTGGGTGTCTGTGTTCTCGTTGTTGTTGTGTACGTGAAGTAGTCGAAAAGCAGGGGCGGGAAATGACTTATGATGAAGAGAAAAGAATTCTTTAAAAATGAACGAAACGAAGGAACTGCGCGTTTAAATGTTTACAAATGTTGGTATTGATGTTGTTGCTGCTGTTGTGGTGGTTGTGCTGGAGAAGGGCGGGTGTTAAGAGCGGTAACGGAAACTTGTTGAAAATTATTAAATCGAAAGAAACAAGAAACTAAGAGAAATAAATGTGAGGAAATAAAGCGCAGACAGGGCAGGCAGAATTATTTAACTACTTTGCAATGGGTGCATTGTGTTGTTGTTGTTTTTTGTTTTGTGGGTGGAGGAGGAGGTGGAGGTTGTTGTTGTTACTTCTATTGCTACTCTTATTGTTGATGTTGAAGTTGCTTTTGTTGGTCTTTGTCCTGGTGTTCCGGTCTGTCTGGTTTTGTGAGTATTTCACAATGCGACCGCGACCAACAAGCACACCACACGCGAATTAGTTGCAAGTTGTTGTAAATCTTTTTTTAATTTGTTGTCGCCAACAATATTGACAGAATGCGTGTTTGTCTGTGTGTCTGTGCCTGTCTGACTGTGTGTCTGTCTGTGTGTTTGATTCGTCTGCACGCCAAACTCCGTGCGTGGGGAGACGACGACGACGTCAACGCACAGCTGCTTGCTTATCTGGGAATTGAGCAGCACGCGTTTTCCATTTTCCTGGCGCTGGCGGCACTTTTTACACGCTGGCACACGCAAATGCAGCCGCTGGGCAAAAACACACGCGTCTTTAAATTACTGTATGCAATTTTAATTTATTATAATTTTCCTGCGCACATTCACTTTGGGGGGATGCAAAGGCACACACATCGATGCATCGGTGCAATCGATATTTTCATGCCGGCTTACAATCGGCTATCGCTATTCGTTGTTGCACCACATCTGAGGAATCGAGTGTAGTAGAGGTGGACAATGGTGCGTGATGAAATGAACTCATAGATATATAATTAAATGAATGTGAAACAAAGCAATTAACATGTATACCCTTAATGTAACTCTGAGTTACACAATTTATCATTTTTTCCCGCACTACTAGGCTACATCGGCAGATGGCGATTTCATTAGTGCCCGTAGCCCTGGAATTGTACACTGCCTAGCATTTGCGTGAGTCAGCTGCAAGCATACTTTTAAACTGCCCATCTCCGGCAAATCGACTAAAGCATGATGTAGTTTGTGAGAATTACCGCAAGCTGGCGCTAGTGCTCCGGCACGTTACATTTGTACGTCGATTTAAGTGATGCTTCAATTTCGGTTTCGATTTCGGCCATTGCCATTGTTTCATTTAAAGACCATTTAAGACATTCAACTTGCTGGCTCGCAAAAACTACAAACTACAAAATGATTTACTGCAATATCCTGCCACGTTGCAGTCGCGCACATTTTTGAGTTGCTGCCAAAAACTGCGAGCAACGAGCAAAGTTTATGGATAGTGCGCCCACAGCGCACAGCTCCTTACTACACATACATACATACATACAGAAACATATATACATACGTATAGTATACAAATTTATATATATACAAGTATATCCGTTTGTACATAAAATGCTTTGCATTCGATGCCGAGTTTTGTTGTAAGCTTTTAATGCAACTACTTAGTCCCGTTGCCGCGTGTCCTTGGCTCGCCTTAACCATTTGCTCTCTGCCCAGCCTCCTGGACGGCGCGACACATTGGCTGGGCCGCGGCCCAGCAGCTAGCTCCTTGTGCTGTGAGTTTTCTTAGCGTTTTTGCTGCCGCTGCATTGCAAATTGCTTATTTCTTAATGCACAGCCATTTCCTTTTGGCTTTTTCTTAGACGTTTACCCTGAGACTGAGTCTGAGTGTATGTGTGTGTGTGAGTGTTTGTGGCCCCAAAATGAATTATGGCATAATCTTTGGGTGTCGTTCGGCGTAGCCAAGCAGAAGTGTTAAACAGTTTAACGCGTTTTTCCTTGACTGTCTTTTATTTTATTTTCATTTGAGTTTTTCTCTTACATTTTTCGTGCTCGACTCGCAAATGCATGCCAAATTGCTTGACTTGACTCGGCTGTCAGCGACCTGTGGCATGTTGCATGTTGCACGCCCACAACTTGCGACAGTTGCAGTCTGCATTTACATAACATTTGCATATGCCAACTGTACGAGTGTGCGTTCATTAGGCGGCAGCAACAACACCAACTACTATACTTGTACAACTACAACAACATCAGCAATTGTCTGCAGCACGCACTGCGGCACACCAATCGATCGATCGATGTTCTGTAATGACCGTATTTTACGTTTATCGCACCCTGCCTGCCCATTCCGCAGCTACTGCAACTCCTCCACTCCTTCAGTCCACCACTCAGAGAAAAGAGAACATTTTTATATCAAATCCTTGATAAGCAATAAAAAATTACAATAAAAGGCCCAATTTAAGCTGATCCTCAACTTATAATGAAACTAATATTTATAGAAAAGCTCCTACTCAGTACACTCCTACTAGTATTAAACACAAACTTAACAAACCTTCCGACCATCTACTAACAATTTACTGCGATTGTGAAGAATTCCAAAAAAAGAATTCTAATAAAAGTTTTGAATTCAAAATTTTCCTTAGATATCTGCCTAAAAGTTGTTGATACAAAAACTGATTTCTGTACAGATCGTTGCTATGACAGCTATGCGATATAATGCACCGACCAAGATACAGCTTTATCGTAAGATTTACTTCAGATATCTAAATAAACTTAAAGTCTAACTACTAAGCATGACTCATATGGCTGCTTGAATAAGACAAGTCTACACGCCAAGTTTGAAGTCCCTAGATGCTATATTCTCACAAACGGCCATGTGAACATGTCTTTATCGATTCATCTCATCATGCTGATATTATATATTATATTATATTATACTATGTGTCACGCCTTCTTCGGTCTTTTAAGTATAGTACTTTTAGCATTCATACTTTTAGATTTTCATGCATGCTCTTGAATAAAGGGCATAATAAGCATTGTGGAATAATCGAGGATATACATTTAATATTATACCCTCAAATACTATAATATAAGTAGTATTTTGGAATTTTAGGCAACCCTTCCTATTTATAGTTTAGTAATTTAAGCGTAGAGCTATAATATATTATATATACTTGTACATTTTAGGATTATGTTTTTTGAATTGTGCGCATTAAAAAGGGTTTTTTGAAAATTCCGCCAATATGTATGTGTAATAAATGCTGATCAAAGAGTTTAAGGGAAAATGGTTTCTAAATATGCCCGAAAAATTCAGTAAGCGAGCCAATGAAAACCATTTGTACAAATATTCTTAAAACTTCGTGTTTTTTCCAGTACATATGCAAACAATTATGAAGCGAAAGAAGTCTTCCTAAAATATAGCTATCCAATATCTTTAAAATTATTTCCGAGCTGGACTTTTTTGCTCAGTGTACACCTTCATGCTTTGCTGACTGCGCACAAAAATTCAATGTTATAAATTCAGAATAGGCGTCATTGTGTCGGGGCCGAGTCAAACATTGAACATACTTGATGGACCTAAAAAAAAAGTACGGATCGAAATGGCACTTCACAAACTTATTTTTTTCCACCAATCTTCCAGTCTCCTCTTTGATTTTTTCAGCAGCGCACTATTTTTCTTTACACTTCGAGATTACGCATACGCCATTGGGAATTTAAGATTCATGAATGAAAATTTGAAGCTACAGGATTTCTTTTGTTATTGTTGTTGCATCATTTTGGCAAACTTCCGCCCAAGCTGCTTGTAATTGACTTGTAAAATTCAATCAAAGCGGCTTAATTGTTTGGCAAGCGAAAGTAATTTGAAGCCATCTAATGGCCACGTAGTGCAGCAAATTGCAGACACGACATCCACTTGTTCATTGGCGTTAATTGCCGCCGCTGTCAGCAGCATCATCAGCATCAGCAACAGCAGCAACAACAGCAGCAACATCATCACTGAAATCGCCATTGAGTGTCGCGCGCGTGCCTAAAATTTTCAATAAGTTTGTCTAACTGAGTCCGCCGTAGTCTTAGATTGGACACGAGACAAGGGACAACGGACATCGGAGATGGGAGTTGGGAGTTGGGAGAGTCGGCGACATATTGTTTCATTTTAACTTTAACAGGAGCAACAACAACAGTACGGGCAGACATAACAAAGGCACCTACAAACGCAATTTGGCAACAAATTCGCAGAACAGACAGCAACAGCTACAACAACAACAATAACTATACATAAGAGCAACAACAATGCACAACCACAATTATACAATTTATGCGATTTACGAGCTGCTCTAAGGCCAGAGCTGTTTGCCTGCTTCTTGCCCTTTTGCCTTGCAGGCCAAAAACTATTTCTATTGCTGTGGCCAACAACCAGCAACCAACAACTAGGAACTGGCAAGAGCCATCGCCACCGCCACCGCCACCGCCGCCGCCGCCGCCACCGCCACCACTGAGCAAGGATATGCCGTATTTCCGTTTACATAATAAATTTGCTAACCACGTTCTGTCGTCGTCGTTTCTTCTGCTGCTGCTGCTGCTGCAGTGCGCCTGAAAAGTTCCAGCAGGCAACGCAGCACGCCCAGCAATTCAGGCAGACAGGAACAGGGACGGGGAGAGAGAGGCACGCAGTCAGGCAGTCGGACAGTCGGACAGACCAACAGCCTCAGCTTGCTGGTTCCTCTTTCTTTCCTTTATTCAGTTTTTTCTTCCTTTGCCACTGCGGCAATGAGCCTTAGGTTGCACCACCAGCGCCGCCAGCGCCGACGCTTGGCATCAAGTGCCTGCGGTTTTTTGTCACTGTCGGCACACGGACACAGCCCTGGATATGGACTTGGACATAGACATAGACATGGGCACCTTGCCGAGTCAGTTGACAAAAAGGCAAAGCAAAAAGTGCCCACAGCTATAAAACTACTCGCCAACAAAAAAATGGACAGCAGCTTCAGCAGGCGTTGGCCTCTCAGCCTCAAACCAAGTGCAATTGGGAGTGCATAAACCAAGCTAACTGAACCCTCTATAACGATACATTTATATTCACATATCAATGCAACATAGTCCCAATGTGTCGGTTACGATATGAATATGCAAGATTCATTTTGGATGAACATTAGTTTTCGAACTCAAACTGCATTCGTGATTACTGATTTCCATAAGGTCTGCAAATTATTTCACATTTTTAAGCTCGCTTATTAACTGCTAATGGAAGTTAGTTATAATTTAAGAGACCCTCTTTTCTTAGGACTAACCTAGAAAGCAGAAAAAGGACTCCCCAATTGGCGAAGACAGATTATTGCAAGTGCAGGAAAGGTGCAGGGCAAATTCCTAAATTCTTTATATCTCTGCAAATATAGATTAATGGATGAGCTTTAACTAAGTTGATTTTCTTGATCGGTAAAGTCGTTCAGTCTTGGAGTATCGGAGATCGTACGAATTTGCCAATGTCGATCATTTCTTCGAAGTTAAATTTCTGATCACCTTATCACTTAAAATGCATAAATGATTATGTTTTCGTCGGTTGTATTTGCTACAGTCCTTCGATTTCAGGAATATGGTCGCCAAACTTTCATTTCATTGCATTCAGCTTACATTCCTCTCCCGGAAATTGCTTACAACTCACAGCAAGCGGAAAGATCCACTTCATAGTTTACTTGCGGTTCGCCGGAATCAGTGTTATAAAACAGACGGCGCTCCAGTCCAGCCTCTGTGATTACACCAATTCGAATAACACCCCCGGAGCAGCCATCGAGATTAATGCCATGTTCGATGCATTTCTTTACAAACTCCACGGAGTCTTCTTTGTCCATGCCCGC